ACTGTCGTTCGGCACGCTGCATTGAGCAGCCGCGTTCAGTTTTTAATTGTAGTGTCTGTTCTTTTACTGAACTAAATTATTTTTATTACTATAAAAATCAAAACGACGGTGGGGGTCGGTGCCGCGGTGGGCAAGTGACGTAACCGGTGTTGTGGCTCAACACCGGTATCACCATCAGCACCGTCTATCGCGGCAAGCCTAGCTCATACTGGGTCAACACACTCTAAAAACCACATTGGAATTATGCCTATTTTCTCAAAATCAGAAGGAAAGTTTATGACCTTAAAAACACCATCACCAATTATGTAGAAAAACATATGACATAACTACTGCACTAAATCAATGAAAGCTGATTTGAAAAGAAACTCTTAATTTAACAGTGTAAAAACCCTTTTAAGTTCTCTGAATCTAAGGGAAAGATATGATGAACCACTTCACATGCATGCTGCTGTACTCTGGCTCCTGTACTGACGCAGTTGGGGTTTGATGGAAAACCCCTTCAAAATCATGCAAGTTACAAACACAGAGACATCAAAGTTCAGCTTTCTTCAACAATGAACAATGAAATGAAGTGAAGAGAGAGCTCAGTGTTTGCTTTTCTCAAAAAACCCACATGAGGAGCATGAATTCTCTGTAATGAATTCTCCCACAGGTTCTTTCCCTCCACTGCATAAACAAGGGATGCACCGATACCGATACTGGTATCGGGCCCGATACTGGTCTCCAGTGTGATCTTTGATGTTCACTCACTTAGCACACATCATTTGGATTAAAACTAAATCGTAAAAATAAAACCATTCATAGGGGCATTCACTATAAACATCATTTATTTTCAACCTTAGGCATACACGACTTTCTGGCGAAAGTGAAACTAGCAGCCTGTGTGAAATGCGCTATAGTCTGTACTATTCTGCATGAATACAAATACCTGCACGCGTTGCGCGTGTTTTGCTTGCTTGAGTGTTTCTGCATTATATGAGTGGCTTTGGAATATAAATCGCAGCACGTTTCAGATGAAAAAACGCGACTTCTATTTCTGAAAATATCACAGTTAGGAGTAGTGTTGTCAAAAGACCCGGTATTTCGGTACCAAGTCGGTACTAAAAAAATGAAAACATTACGGTACCAGTTTTTTTTAAGTACCGGTGGTACCGATCACCCGGTCAACCCGGTTCTTGATGCGCTATCCGAAAGCTATCCTCTTCCACTGTTGCCAAGTCCGCGGGTACTGGAAAAAGTGGTATCGGTGCATCCCTAGCATAAACGTCTTATGGAGCTTTTTCCCTTGGTACAGTCGCCTCGGACTTGCTATCTGCTAAAAATCTCAAATTTTTTAGGGCAGCAGGATCAGATCAGGTCTCAAATGGAGTAATTTCAGTGCAGCAGTCAGGCTGTTAATCAGAATCACCCACACATGCTTCCCACACATCACACACAGCTAAAGTGTCAAGAGTCACAAACAAAACCAGTCATCTCGCTCTTTCTATCCCTATCCACCTTATTTTTCAATGCAGAAGTGAGACATTTTCTGTAAATGTGCAAGATTTCAATTGATAAACTGCAGTAAATGGTAAAATTATTGGGGCTTCAATTAAATGTGTTTATGATTATGATAATTAATAAAATATAATATAATATGATAAGAAAAACCAGTATGCAATATAAAGCAGACTATTTTGTACAGATAAAATAACTGCACACCACATCCAGGTTACTAACTTCTACACCCGTGGATAGCACTGCTCTTACCTGTGTCTATATTAATCAAACTGCATGGTGAAGAATATAAAAGTGCAATTATTCTATATCTTAACTATATTTTCAAGTAGTGTTCAGAAGTCTGAGACAATGTGAATTTGGCAATCAGTCAGATCTTTAATTTTAATAAATTGGTTTAAAAAGTGTTTTTGTGTTAAGTATAAGTCGGCTGACTGAATAAATACTGATTTCATGAGCTTAATTTTAATCACCCTGATATTTGCAATAGGCTGTGTAAACAGGAACTATATTATTTAGCAGAAGAATTGTTGATACTGATTATTATATTTCAGGAATTTAAATATTTATTGAACATTGGTGTATTTGGTATCATTGCATTTTTGTAGCCAATGTTTAATATATAACACATTTTATTAAATGGCAGATAAATATTGGTCTGTTTTAAGAAAATATGATGAAAAGAACATTGTCATAAAACGAGCCTAAAAGCATTTTCAATAGTGGTCTCAGATTGGATCCCACTGTATATTCTCAGATGTGCTCTAAATAGTGATTGGGTATGAATATAAAACAAAAGGTTCATATTCCAAAAAAACCAAACTGTCTCCATCTGATAACAAAAACTGAAGATGAGCATCTCTCAACTCACGCCTCATGAGCCTATGTTCTGGATTTGTGAAACAGTTCAGCTGGTTTGATCAGGGTATTATCCAGAACATGCTCTTCTGCTTATTCAGTGACCTCATTTACAATGGGTTTTTTGCTGACATATTTAGTGAGCATGATCACACCCCTCCTCTGAGTTCTGTTGCTGAGAGCAGCAGGAGCTTTTATTGACCCGTTTCTGTGGTCCTTATTTAAGGCATGAAGTGTGAAGAGTGTTTTGCTCCGATTAGTCGCTAAAGCAGCTCTGCAGTTGTTCAGAGTGAATGGAAGGGTGGAGCCCTTCCTAATGGGCAGAGGCACCATAACCCAGCAAAGAAAAACCACAATTACCAAGAGCCTCTTGACATAAACAAGCCTTTGAAGACCCAGCCCAATTCCCATGTTGTCAGAATTGGCACACATTTATTTTCCATCCAGAACCACTGGAGAACTCTCAAAGTCAGGAAATTAATCCTCGAAGATCTCCTTTCTTGGATCTAACCCAGTTTAGCATGTGCCTATGGGAGCCCAAGGCACCGCATGGAAAAAAACGTGTATACCATCTCTACCATCAAGAACTCATGAGATTTGAACGTAATATGTAATAAATGAGCTGCGAAGAAATTGCAAAAACATACATCCTCTCAAAGTGATCCTGAGCTCTGATTTTATTCCTGATCACTCTAGGAATATATGACCTGTAGTAACAGAATTACATTGCTAAGCCAACAGACAGCTGGATAATAAAAGTAAATGCTGACAGACATTTGTCTCAGGAACTGGAGCAAGGACAGTGGAATTTGTTTCTGCAGCTGGGCATGTTACATGTCCAATCGACATGGATCCAACCTGGGAGTGGTGTGCAATGGTGACTAAAGCTCAGTTCTAGAAGGCTCCAAAGAACAGGACACAAGCTCTCAGTCCCTCAGCACTTAACTTTTGGCAGCACAAGGAAGGCCATTCCTACAAGTGTGCAGTAAATCACTTTGAAAGAATGTGGTGAAGGACAGCACGGTGGCTCAGTGGGTAGAATTGTAAATCTACAGCAAGAAGGTCCCTGGTTCGAATCCCTGCTGAACCAGAACCTCTTTCTGTGTGGCGTTTGCATGTGTTTTCACCGGGTGCTCTGGGGTTTCCTCAAATATATTTTAACCTTGTGATGGACAGGATGCTTCCATGTCTGCAGCCTGAGAGCATCCCTGCAACCCTATATAGTACAATCGGTTTGGAAAATGAATGGATGGAATAAATGGTAAATGGCTACTTATACTTGCTGGCTAAGTGGAATACTGAAGTGTTGGCTCATGGCTCACTCCTCGTGGGGACCAGAAACCTACCAGGGTTCAACCTTCACCACCACACCTCAACTTGCTCCATTGTTGTTAAAAAGACCTTTGCATAGTCTCTGCATTCATCCATCATTACGTCCTTCGCTCGAAAAAATCTTATCTCTCAAATACAGCTGATTCCCTGCATACCATCTTCAAGATCTTCTGTATCCAGATCAGATGGTCA